AGGATAAAACTGAAACTGTGGTGTGTGCCATGCCATCATCCCGAGCTCTTCCCTTTACTTGCGGAACTACCTGAAACCAAAAACTGAAACTGTAAGCACAAAGCTTAGTGAGTTCCCCCAATCTACCACATACCACATAATAACATATAAAGCAACTACTGGGTCGTGCCCACTGCATCGGACCGAAGTCCGGAAACTGCATCGGACCGAAGTCCGGAACTAACCAGGGCCTTGCCCTCTGCATCGGACCGAAGTCCGGAACTAACCAGGGCCTTGCCCTCTGCATCGGACCGAAGTCCGGAACTAACCGAACATAGCATAGCATAATCATAACTACTAGCATCAACACATATACTGCATACTGCATCGGACCGAAATCCGGAACACATAACACAAAATCATACTTGAATCACAAAGACATCAAGCACACTGAACTACTGCATCAGACCGAAGTCTGGAACTACTGCTAACTAAACGGGTCGGCATTGTGGTCGTAGACCTGTTCCTACTAGAAGGAAACTCACCTCGTAAGCTGGATGCTGAAAAAGCTACTCGGGAACTGTCTGTTGCTGCTCCGGTATCTCCCCGGCTATAATTCCCATAAATATACTCAATCAAATATTGATAACTAAACTGAGGGTGAAATGACTATTTTACCCCCTGTCAAAGTCAACTTCCTGGTCAAACTCAACTTCCTGGTCAAAGTCAACTTCCAGTTGACCGGACTCGCCGAGTTGGGCCGTCAACTCGCCGAGTCCCTTTCATCCGTTCTAGTCCCTACTCGCTTCTACTCGTCGAGTTTGGCGAAGACTCGACGCGTTCTTCTTCGATACATAAATCAAGTCTAACTTCATCCGACTCGTCGAGTTGTATGAACAACTCGTCGAGTTCTCCTTCATCATATGAACACGTCCAGTCTGCGACTCGCCTAGTCGTAAGAACAACTCGTCGAGCCTGAAGAACAACTCGCCGAGTTGAAGAACAACTCGCCGAGTCCCAAGCATGCTATTACTATACAGTCGATTCTAATCGATTTCAGTGCTTCCAAATCATAGATCTAGGCTCTTAGGGTTGGTTTTACACGTAAAGTTTCCAACTTTACGTGCATGCATGAAGAAATGAGGATAGAACATCAAAATAAGCTAAGAATGGGGTCTTAAGGTTTGGAACTCGACCTTGGGTGCATAAAGGCAGCTACTTTGAGCTCCTACAGCTCAAATATACTCAGATCTATGGTCCATTTCCTTATAGGAGTCCCAATCTCGAGTTTGGATCCAAAAAGTCCCAAAAAGAAGCACATCTAAGCATACAAGACTATCAAATGGAAATAACAAGCAAGGTACAAGCTTTAGTACCAGAATGTGAGGCTGATGATCAAGAGATTCTGGATCTTCTTCTTCTCCTTTGGATCCTTCCTTCTTTCTTTCTCTTCCAAAACCTCCAAACTAGCACAAACACACTCAAGCTCAACAATGGGGGCTAGGGTTTACAGGGGAAATGCTCTAAAGGTGCTGGAGGCTGGGGTGGGAGGCTATAATGACGTTTATATAGGGTACAAACCCTTGAAATTAGGGCTTCATCCAGACAGGCAGACTCGTCGAGTCCCTTCATATGGACTCGCCGAGTAGCCAACTTAAAATGCGTGAACATCCCGTCTCTACTCGACGAGTTGGGCTACAGACTCGTCGAGTACCCCTTAAGAAATGAAACTTACTTTATTTAGATTACATACTAGAAATGGGGCGTTACACTTTTGTTGATAAATACTACTATTTTTTGTTAGTATGGAACGTCTGTCTAATAAGACGTGTGCGATATTTCGGATACTATGTAATAATTACTAGGAAACAGGAATAATGTAACTTTCTATCATCAATAAAGGTATATAGTTTATATAATTCTTTTGTACTGTTCAATGTATGTTAAATAATTGTGATACAAAGATGAAGTTACACAGCCCGATGTTTCCGACGCCGGTCGGGGTGTGACACCGCTCTCTCTTAATTATTACATACCCATCAGCCTTATTGGGTGCTTATACAAGATTATTCCAAAGCCCTTTCCAATAAACTCAAACATGTGATTTGTTTTGTCATTATCATTGATATTGTTCCATCAGCTTATGTGGAAGGTATGAACAATCTGGAATGAGCCCTTACTGTGAATGAAATATGCTAATGAGCTAGAATAAAGAGGAAAAAACTATTCCTTTTTAAAGCAGACTTTGAGAAAGCATTCGACTCAGTGAATTGGAACTACCTCGACTCGATGATGTCACAAATGGGTTTCGGTAATAAATGGCGGTCTTGGATCAAGGGATGTCTATTCTCCTTCCGTTCATCGGTGTTAATTAACGGCTCCCCCACTTTAGAGTTCCCCATCACTAGGGGGTGTGCCAAGGCGATCCCCTTTCACATTTCCTGTTTATAATTGTCATGGAGGGCTTGAATGTCATCATGAAAGAAGCCTATGGTAAATCCCTATTCCATGGTGTTCAACTCCTAAACAGCAGCTCGACTATTTCTCATCTCTTTTATGCAGATGATGCCATCTTGTCGTATTCTCAAATGTTTTCACATCTCGTCTAACCTTAAAGTTAATTTCCAAAAACGATACTTGCACTTCTAACACTGAACTATCTAGATGGACTCAAGTTCTTGGTTTCAAAGTGGGATCTTTCCCATTCAAATATCTGGGAATTCTCATAGGTGCTAATATGACCTTAAAGAAACACATTGGAAACCGATCATAGAGCAATTTAAGTCTTAGTTATCATTGTGGAAGTCCAAAACACTATCTTTTAGGGGAAGGTTGACTTTGATCAAGGTTGTTCTCAAAAGTCTTTCAACTTACTTCTTTTATCTTTTTAAAGCACTTGCGAGTATTATTGAAGATTTAGAGAAAATCATGTGCAAGTTTCTATGGGGTAGCAATGACGATAAACCCAATACACATTGGGTGGCATGGCAAACTGTAATCGCTCCAAAAGTAAAGGTAGTCTCGGTGTGGGCTCGCTCAAAACACAAAATCATGCTCTACTAGCTAAATGGTGGTGGAAACTAAGATCCAACGAAGAATCACTTTGGTGTAAAGCAATTCATAGCTTGCACAACACTACCAAAAGGCCTATTTACTGCATCATGGGAAAATCGATCACTGGTATCTGGAGTAATATTGATAAGGGTATTACAAGTCTAAAATCGTTTAATATTAATCTATGAAGATCTATTCTCCTTAAAAATTGAATCTGGATGGTTTGGACTTTCCTGGAAGGACGTTTTGGATTGACACAACCTCCCTTCAGAATCGCTTTCCCTCACTTTATCCGTTAGAGTCCTTTAAATTTTTTAAAATCGTTGAGAGATCTTCTACTAATGGATTTCGCTGGTCCTGGAAATCAAACCCATGTAGTCGTGAAGCTGTAGCTAAACTAAATGAACTATGTTCCCTCGTTGCTTCCCAAACATTTGCTGATGATCCGGATAAAATCTGGTTTAATAACGCTCCAGATGACAGGTTTTCTGTGAACATCATGTGCAAGTTTTTGGATTCGAATTTGGATATATATCAGGGACCAAAGATAGTTTGGATTAAAACAATCCCCATTAAAGTGTTGTGATTTATTTAGTGTGCTCGTTTTGGTAGAATTCCAATTGTGGTGACCCTTGCACACCGGGGTGTGCATTCTCTTAGCCAAATTTGTCCCTTATGCGATTATGAATCGGAGTCAGTAGAGCATCTTCTATTTCATTGCAGATTCACTTCTATGGCGTGCTATTGGATCATAAAATGGTGTGGGCTTCCCTGTTGATTTTCTTGACTTTGATGCCAACTGGGGTATTTGTCCCAGGAAAAGGAAATTTTTTATCTCGATATTCTACTACTTCACTTGGCGTAATTAATCGGCGAGAAACAACAAGTTCTTTAAAAAGTTACCTCCTTTCCTAAAACTGGTCGCGGTTGACATGACTTTTACATGGTGCAAACACAATGATAGATTAATTGATGTTAACTAGATGCAATGGTGCTATAAGCAGTTTTGATTTCAACTATAATATGTACCTTGTTGTCTTTTCATTCCAACTATTACCTTCTTGCTAAGCTTGGTCTATCTTTTTTAATATATTTCACCGTTGCAAAAAAATGCTTCAAATTATTATTAGAAAATGAAACAATATTTCACTTATTTAGTCTTTATTTAACATAATTTGGAACTTTTTACTCCATTTCACACTAGAATTTATTTATAAAATTAATTCCTTTAAATATCAGAATTTGATAAATGTTAAAAACTAATGCTCTAATTGTTATAACTTGAAAGATCTTAATCACATCAAACATCTCGTATTTTCTCTTTGAAGAACCAACATATCAAATGAGAACCAAATTTGTCGACTGTCGACTTATTTTAAATAACATAAACAAAAAATAGAGATGTTCGAACAAAATAAATATCAATTTGGGCTCAACACATTAACCTTGTAATACATGACAAACTTAAAACACGTATTTTAAGTCATTTTTATTTTATATAATACATACTTTCAAAATAGCTTTTATAAATCTATATTGTTGTAAACTCATAAAAAAATAAGTTATCCACTTAAATAAAATAAAATTTCACTTCTAATAATTTGATCTTTTATTTGACAATAATTTATATCACATGTCATGTTTATTGTAAAAGTACATTCGCATAACTAAAAGCACATTTCTATTACATTTACTTTGTCTTAACATAAAAAGACATTATCATATCCTTTGAAAGATATCCCAAATAACACGTGAAAGCATGATTGAAATTTAGATCTTTACACGTAGATCTGCTTAAATTCTATCAAATATCATCTAAAAGGATGTTAATTTCCATAAGAAATTGATTCATTCACATAAAATATATTTTTCACTCTTGTACGATAGCTACAAGAGTGTTGCATCTTATATGTATAAATCAATTTCTTAAATGGAAGAATTACCTCCCTAAATTCATGTTAAATTACTCAGACCCTAAATTTGGTACTGTAAAATTTGCCATTAATAAACACAAAAGAAGAAAAAATCAATTGCATTAGTGTTTTTTTATATGGTGATGAATGCGAGGGTGCCAAAAAAAAAAGCACAAATATTATAGGTTTATTGGAACACGAAGCCCGTCATAACTGAGTTGTACATCCAAACCTTCGGTTTCTTTCAACTTCAAGAGACTTTCATTCACTTCTTCATGATCCATCAAATGCATCATACCTTCATTAATCACATAAGGATGGAATGGTCATTTACTATCTTGTTTGTTCATACAACACTCACTCCAAACAGAAATCAATTATCCATACAACACTTAATATATACAACCCTCAATAGGAAAGGAAAAAAAAAACAATCCTTAACCCGATAAGCTCTATTTGGGTGTGTATTTTTTACTTAATGAAAAAGTAATTAATAAAGTCCGAGAAATAAGATATGTTAGTGATTTTAGTGTCATCAAGCCGTTTAGTGTGATCAGGATTAATTCCAAAACATGTCGAGTTTAGTTTCTACTACATTCCAAGCTTGGGAGGTGTTGAGTGTCGAGTGCACGTTTGCATAAGCTAATTTAATCGGAAGAGCACATGGATTTTCCCGCCAAAACCAAGAAGCGGATTTTCCCGCCAAAATTAACCGCTTTATCTCTATGTATAGTTTTACAATTTGGAAGAAGACTAGTTTTTCCCCTTATGTTTCTCTGTGAATTGTTGTCTCGGAAACATAGAACAAAGCATTCTGCTTTTTGTCTCTTGGTTTTGAATAACTTCTTGGATTATCCTAAATCTGGTTTCGAGTAACCCAAGCTCATAGGGTCGAAATTACAGATTTTGAAAAGTGAAATTCACGATCCTAGAAATATCTTAGTTTTTTTTTTATATTCATTACCCTGTTTTCTATCAAGATATTCCCATTAAGTCCTAACTTTTTATATATTTTCTCATTTGTGTGAACCTTCTACTTACTTAAGCATGCCATCTTTTTCTCACTTTCTTGGATACAAGTCTACCAAATTTTAAGAATTTTAATAAAATATGAAATCTTTAATTCAGTTAATAAAAATGAGTAAAGAAAGAAAATAATATATATATATATATATATATATATATATATATATATATATATATATACCTGTAAAGAGGGTTCTTTTTGGCTGGATTTTTCGAACTTCTTCCAAAGCCTAAGGGTTTAAAAAAGGGCATGAGCATCAACAAATAAAGTTGTGATTTTCCATATGTATTGAAATTATCCAAAGGTTTTAATAGACCCAAAATTAAGTTGTGATTTTCAGACACTACACATTCTTGAAATCTAACCTGTGGAAGTCCAAAATGTGTTGAAGAAGATCGATCTGGCCTCAATGCATCCTGAAAAGTGAAAACACATGGACAAAATATATATTATTAGAAATCAAAATTATGAAAGCCAGATTTGATGTTTTATATATGCGATTGATTACCATTATAAGTATTTCACAATCTTTTAAAAGGGGGTAAGTCTCATCAGGTATTGCACTGACATCACTGTCACAAATAAAATATTACATCAGATGTTAAATATAATTTTTTGTATATATATAGAAATATAGTATTTTATAGAGAAATAGTTTGAGATTATTACCTAATGTAACAAATGTTGCCAAAGCGGAAACCCAAGGAACGATAATTACTACCATGCCACACTGGCAAAGGAGTGAACTGATAGCACAATACACAAATTGTGAAACAAGATAAAATATTTTTTGAATAAATACGAATTTAACCTTTTAAAAAGTATCAAGAAGGCAAATTCTAACCTTAAGGTCATGTACAGTGAAAGGGTTTTCATCTATGATATCAAATTGCAACTCAGAGACTGCAGCTCCTGGTATGATCACGCTTTTGTCTAATAAATAGTAATGTGTTTTTTTCATCACCTGAAATCAATTTAAAAAATCTACAAATTCAGTTAGCGATATCATAATATAAAATAAAAAAATTGGTTCACTGAAATTTAAACATTTTTGAACCTCAAAATCACGCTTGGCTACATAAATTGGAATATACGGCTGGACATTGTTTGTCCAGTCACGAAGATCATCTAAACCTAAAAAAATAAATAATAATAATAATAAATGAATAATTGAGTATGTAACTTGAAAATTGTTGCTGTTATGATTGAAATGAAATGGGAAATTAAAGATTAGAGACCTCCAATTGCATCAGCATGAGAATGAGTAATAACAACAGCATCTATTGATCTTATTCTGACAAAATAAACACAGGGTTTGTTATTTTTGTGGTAGAAATATATAAGAGAAAATGAGAAAAATAAATCTTACCCATAAGTAGGGAACCATCGAAGAGCACTTTGGTAGAAAAATCTGTGAGATGAAAAAAAAATATATTATTTGATTCACTTAGTGATTTTGATTATTTAGGGTTTAAATAATCACATTTGGAGAAACAAGCAAGAAGTAGTTGCAAGAAAGCTGATTACTGAAATAAATATAAAATTACTATCGATCCCTAATATTTAGCACTGAATTAGACCAAAAACAATCAGGTTAAATGTGTGTTTATGCAACAAAGATTTGCCTATTTTCCAATCTATACAAAAAAAAATAATAATAAAATAAAAAAAACTGATCTGTTACACAAAATATGGAACTACAGTTTATTTTAGGCTAAAAACATGGTTCATGGTTGCATAAGTTTAGTCAGTTGTATAAATTGGTAACAAAGTGCAACAATTCTGAACTCTACATACATGAATCTAGTTCTAAGGATTTCTCATTTTTGCCTAAACTTGAAAGTGTCATTAGTTTGGATTATCCTAAGTACAAAGTTCTTGACACCCAAGCAATTAGTAGGTGAAGATATGTTAGTGAAACGTGGTTGCATATTTCGTTTCAAGAACTTCTTTGTTGCATAAATTGGGGAAAAGGTGAAACTTTGTTGCACAAATGCAAATTTAACCCAAACAATAATAGCAAAAAAACAGAGACCAATTTTATCTAATACAAAATTCTGAAAATGGGTATATGTCTAATGAACACGATGAAATTAATGATGAAAGAATGTTTTACATACTTGCCAGCATCTATAAGAACGTTAGATATGCCAGAAGGTCTAGGATAACGAATAAGGAGGCTTGTATTGAGTCTCTTATTCTTATTTCCTCGTACTACAGCTTTTGAGCAAACCTGAAAAAGCCATTGAGATATGCACATTGGAAAGAAAAGCTACAAAAACACATCTCCAAGCTTCAAATATTTGCTTGTTGTTACAAAATGAGTTGACTCAGTTTGATGGTTACCGGGCATTTCTTTAAGGGGTGAGTAAGGCAGCTCACTCGTGGGACTCCTTCACTGGTTCCTGTCCCCATGAATATGATTTCTGGTTGTTCAAGAGTTATCTTCTCTCTTTTCTGTACACCTGCAAGAATTTGAATAGTTTTAGGCCCTACTACTCAAAACAAAACCCTAGGGTAGGTTTTAGAGAGATGAATTACAAGCTGAAATCGGAAAACAAGTTCAAATGATATCAAAATTGAAGTTCTAAAGCATCCCATCCATGATTCTTTTCGAATTTATGGCATCTCAATTCCATCGTCATCCGCTATATATAGATATATTTACATTTCACACATATATACACGTAAACATTATATTGGTAGAAATCATTTCAAGTTTTTAATCTAACCAATGGTGAAAAGCGAGAAATCAAACACATGTAACCAATTCGGGGATCACTACAAGTAAATGGAAATCAACGGAAACGAAAGCTTATGAATATCTCACTTGAATTCGACTGCAGGGAAGCATCTGCATAAATGCGGTTAGATTGAAGACGAGAGCCAGAGCTCCCATAACTGTAAACTGGAATTGAGGAACGTTTAGTGTTTGAGAAAGATAGATGTCGGGTCAAACGAGCGAAACGGGTCAGAGAAGAAGGAGAAGGACGAACTGCTCCTTGCATTAAGATCATTGGGACCCGAAAACGCTTACAGATCGCAGAACCCTTCCTCCAAGAAAACCTTCGGTTATTATGTACTAAAAGGTCAAAGATATTTTCTGTTTATGCAAATTTTCACTTTCACCCCTGAGCTTATGTAAAAGCTCCAAATCCAAGCCTTATTATGGATACTACCGGTGTTGAAACTTGAAACAGGGATGGATGGTTTGAACATGTTAAAATCCTATAAAGAAAGATTTCCTTACAAATTACATTGGATGTTGGTGTAGTAAACATTATTTTAAAAACTGTTACTAAAATAATAATTCACTTTTTTAATAAGACTTTTAAACACCCACCCTTTATAAACTTTAAACTGTTATCGTTTATCTATTAATTTTCCATTTCATCAATTTAAAAGGTATTTGTTTCACCTCTCAATGGTTCCATTAAAAAGTTGGCTTTGAATCAAGCAGATTCACAGAGCGTTTGATTGGGTTTTTATCTGCCTCTAAATGGGACATGCTTATAGATGAAACAATTTGTTTTTCTACAAGTATCAATACTGAGTAGTGAACTATTTATTGTCATTCACAATATACTATTTTACACAAAATACCATTAAAATGAAAGTATTTTATAAACACAAAGTTCCAAGTCCCAGTTGCTACCTTTTGATAGTAATTTTTTTTTAAAACCAATAAAGTTTTGTGAACAAGAAAATAATCCATCACCCACACAAATCATAATCATCCCAACAACATCAATTAAGCAGCTAGATATACAAGTTTATTAGACTTCAAACATAGTCTCAAATAAGTTCACAACCACATGAAATCAACCAGTTTAAACTTCAATGTTATCCATACAAACATGGTTAAAATCATCACCACTCTAGTAACGATACTTGGTGGAGTAATCTTTAGGAGCAATCACCAAACCGCGTCCCTTCCTAGCCCCACGATACACAGTTTCAACAATGTCTATGAACTCTTGCTTGTCTTTCATGGCCCAATTGATCTTATTGTTGTTACCAGTTCCAAGATCAATCATAATATGCTTGTTCCTAAAGAAGAACATCACAGTAGATGGATCGTATAGCTCATACATTGTATTGAAGTCAGGTACCTCAGTGATGTCCACAAGGTAGATCACAGCAAAGTTCTTTATTGTCTCTGCAACTGAAGCAAGCACTTCATCCATCTACAGATCCCACAACAAGATGATTCAGTATTATATACAGATTGTGTAAATATCAACCTAAAGTGACAAATATCCCCAATTTCAAAATTGGGAGCTTAGGATATTGAAATTTATATACAACCAATTAAAATTTCGATTGAATCGAATCGTAATCCGATGGAATGATAGGAAGATGTAATAAACAGAGAAAACAGTATTTGATTTAGCGATAGAGATAGGTGAAACTAGGGTTTTACCTGCATACAAGTTTCGTCCCAATCATGGCCGAACCGGATAACGACGAGACGTTCTTCCTCGGCGAGGATGGCCTGATCGACGGCCCAGCCGGAGTGCAAGTGCGGTAGCAAGTACGACATCTCTGTCTCCCTCTTTCTTTTTCTCTCGAGAAGCGACGGCGAGTATAAAAGAAGGCCGATGTATATAGAAACTCACACGCGGCCTTTATTATTCCGTTGAGATAAGTTAAAAAATAGTCCTTCAACTATATATATTTATAGTTGGTATCACTAACTTTTTAAATTTTTCGTTGGTTATCTAAATGAAAAGTTAATAAATGTTTTATTTTTTTCTTATTTTGTTTTTTTTAACGGCAAATTTAGTTTAATCCTAAACTAATTTTGAATTCTATATCTCAGACCAAATTTGAACCTTCAACTTCAAAGAAAAAGACAACACCTGATACGGTTTGGCTATAAGCCCTTTAATATTAAATAGGGATGAGCACGGATAGCGGGTAGCCGCTTTTGGAACAGGAACCGCATCGGAATCCTTGTTTCTGAAACCAAAACCGAGGACACTAGTTTCGGTTCCGGCTTCTAAAACAGGAAGCGCTAAGGACCAATTTTTGTTTTTATTTTTTAGGAACTGCTACCCACCGGGTAACCGCCGGAATTAGTTCCGAAATATTAAAATTTACAAATACTTAATACTTAAACGAATTGGGCGTAACAACATTGATGAGTAAGACATTTGTTGAGACTATTTAATTGAATCTTAGAAAAAAATGCTAAGAAGTCATATTTGCAATGTTTGTTTTCAAAATAAATGATATGATGTGAATGTGAATGCATGATTGTAAAACAATTTGAACATATGTGATAGTAATATCTTTCAAAAAGATCTAATGTTGATGGTAAGAGCACGAACTTTGGTTTAGGACTTATATTTAGCAACTTGGATTATCTTTTTAAACGATTATTTTTTGTCGTTTGTAACTTGTATCATAATTAACTAGTTATAATATTGACTTTTTGTTTCAATGGATAAGAATTATCTTGCATTAACAAAACTAAAAAAAATGACGTAACTGGGTTACCCGGTTCTAGTCCCAAAAATTTAAGAACCACCTAGAGTAATTCCGTTTCCGATTCTCACTTCACAGGAACCGTTGGTTCCAGTTCCAGTTCCAATTCCAACAAAATGAGACGGGTACCTGTCTATGCTCATCCCTAGTGTTAAATGCTATATTTACTAGAGAACAACAACAAAGAATCTCATTAAAATGGGATAGGGGAGATATTGGATTGAGTTTGACAACCACTCATCTATAGGGGTTAAAGCGACTATGTCATATAGATGACATCTGACATGTGTCAAACGATAACTTGTAAGGAGGCAAACAAAAGGAAAGTAAGTCAAAGTTAGTTTAACCAACCAACCTTAATGTGATGGATGACGTGTACCTCCATACCTTCCCTTATGGATCACAGAACTCAAACACTTCTCTCCTTTATATGGGTGACAATTGGGTCGGGTTCGGGTTGGCGGGTTGGTTGGTCGGAATACATCAATCCAAACCAACCTATATATGTATTCAGGTTGACGTGTCACAGGTTCACATGTTAGAAACATCAACCCAACCCAAACACATAACTCGTTTAATTATACAAGTTTGCGGGTAGGTTTCACTGACAGTAGTGGTTTAGGGATAAAGTGATGAGCAGTGGTGGGTCGGTAGAGCGCGGTGTACCAATGGTTTACGGCTTTGTGTTGGTGGGTTGGTGGTTTGCGACAACAACGGGAGGTGGTACTGGTGGGTTGGCGAAGGTAAGGTAGTAAGGTAAGGGTGAGGAGTAGTCTGTGGTCTTTTGAGTAACAAGGAGTCAAGGATTGGGTTTGGTTTTGTAGGGCATGCCGCACTTGTAAGTCATAATTCATAAATAAATATTAATCTTTTTAAAAAAAATATATAATATATATTGACGGATTGACCCACGAACCCAAACACATAACCCAACTCAACCTATGAAATAAGCAGATTGACAGGTCTAAAATCTCAACCAAAACATGTTTATTTTCGTGTTAGGTTACAGGTCAGGAATTGTAACCCCTACGGTCCTTTAGGATAAGAATTTGGTTCCCTAAACTTACATCTACTCCAACAACTTTCGCATCACTATTTAAATTACACCAAGGATACTCCATTTTATCAGTTGATTTGTGGTGTTTTCTCTTCTAATGTCGCCCTCCAACTTTTGCATTCAGCTCAATCCATAGACTCACTCCACCAATAACACAATGTCGTCCACAAAAAAGATACACCAAGACACTTCCTCTAGATCTCATGAGACATCTCGTCCAAGATTATGGCAAACAATGCAGAGATTGAAAGTCGAACCCTGATTAGTCAAATTGCAACTGACAACGAATCTTTGTCTCTTATTCTGGTTCGAACACATGTCATAGACCATCATTACATATTGTGAATCGTCATGAGATATCTCATTGGACCAAACTAATTATGAAATATCATATCACAGTATATTTGAAAATAATCATTACTTTAGACGACATCTTTTTATAAAAAATAATAAATTAATTTAATTTTTATTATAACAGTGAAATTCAAACTGATTGTTATTTGACTTTTCTGTAAAATAATAATTTAATTTAGCTATCAAAGAAAAGTAAATACTAACAAATAATGCAACATTTGAAGAAGTCTTCTCTTAAATCTACTTGATCATATTCATTTGATAGAAAACAAAATAGACTTGGATTCTGTTACTTTTGACAATTCTTTTGGTTTCAACACTTTATTGATTTTGTTGTCGTGTGTGCATTGGTTTACATGCTTATATCTTAAAAAGGTTTTTTAAATCACAAGTTTGAATATACACATTTGAAAATTAACTTTTTTGATTACCCTCACTAATCTTGTCTTCTAAGAAGATTTTATTAAAGCAAATTGAATTTAAAAAATAATAATAATAAAATAAAACAAAATAAAAGTTTCTCCGTAGAATTTTACAACAAAAAAGACAAGACAGAAATTCAGACAACAAAATCTTAAATTCCAAAAACCAAACACGAACATAGAGATTTGGAATCAACCGAGGACAAAAATAGCAAGTTTTTCCAATACATTATAAAATACTACACTAGTATTCAATTCATAAAGGGTAAAAGACGCACCAATTTGGTAACAAATCACAAATGCCATGACAATAGACATAACATAACAACATACAAAACTAGACCATAAATATATTTTAGCAAATAAAATTCTCATCATACACAACCGAACTTGACAAAAAAATGATCCAAGACACCAACACCACAAAGCAGCCAACCAGAAAAATCTACTGTTGCTTGCATTCAGGAGGTCTCTCACCCTGTTCACCACCAGCATGCACAATGCCACCCTTCTGCAAACACCCCTCAATATTAATTTAACAATCAAAAAAACAAAAGACAAATTGATAAATATTAAACCAAAAACCATGTTAATTAGATTACCTTTGGTCCAGAAGACTGCAAGATTACATGAAAGAAAATAGAGAATAGTTCATTAGTATATTGTTATAAGAAAATTTTAAAAAAATGAAAATTTTACCTTCTTTTTGCTTTTAGCCTTAGGCTCGTCTTCTTCATCCTCGTCATCTTCTTCGTCCTCTTCATCATCCTCGTCATCGATTTCGTCCTCGTCATCATCCTCGTCGTCATCATCTTCAATACCTTCAAACTCGTCTTCTTGTACAGCTTCACCCGTAAACCAAGAGACCGCATGAGGGATAATTTTGTCACGTATGGTTGATCTGAAAAAGTGAACATGATATGAGGGGCATTCATGTCATTTTAAATAAATACACACATTCACAAAAGCAAATCAACAACAACTGGACAAACTTTTTAGGGTTAATTTAAACAAGGGTATTTACGTCTTTTGCACATCAAAGGAAAGTCATGTATCATCATGGGACACAAAATTGCAATTTTTGTATAACTGACATATGTATCAATATTATTTGGCAAAACATAAAAACTCACCCAATGTCATAGTCTTGTTCCATTTGATTCTGAAGTTCTTCAGCCTGCAAACAATACACATTAATTATACTTGCAAAAAAAAGTCTTCTATAGAATTTAAATGAAATTTGCTAGAATTGGGTATTTTTAAAATCACGACGTTGTAATACAATGAAATGAAAGTAGAATACTATAATAAACAAATCAATGAGAGTCAGTTATCATTTCTTGCATTTAACCCTAAAAAGATTACTAAATATTTTATAAAACTTTACCATTTCCTCATCAATTTCATCTTCATCCTCCGGGACCTGCGGAGGGTTAAAAAAGTTGAAAAAACTTTCACAATTTTCTGTCTTGGTTATTGGTTTGGCATTCTTTGAACCCTTTTTTGGCTTTTTCTTCAAGATCTTTTGTGTTAAGCATTTCCCTGGTAACCATTCGATTTCAGTCCTGCAAAAAAAGAAAAACATAAATTGAACTCAAAGAGGAAAAGATAATGAATAAGTGTACAATGAGATGATGTAAAGAGATTTACCCTATTGCCTTCTCTAAAATAGGTTCATCATCATCAATCATATGATATATTTTGGTCAAAACAGAGTTCTTGAAAAATGGATTGGTGTCAAAGAAGAACTCGAGCTTAAAACCCTTGGGATCATCAATGCGACACCATTTAATATCCTTAATATATTTAAGAGCTTCTTCATCTCGTTCAGAAATCTGAGGTAAAAAAACAATAACTCCAACAATAAGCACCAATTTTCTTACAACTAATGAAACAAAATGTATGTAATTAACAGAACATATATATACCTCCTCAGCCAATATTTCATTGGTCTTCATTGCATTTAACCAAAAATTCGGCACACCCTTTTCTGCAAAATAGAATTTGGCACAAGCTTGTCATTTAAGTGTAGTTTCTTTTTGACCTTTTTAGATTAATTAGAAATAGACTTAATCTAGTAAGCTATATGTGCATGTTTCTTGTTTATTTAGTAAGAAAAGAACTTAAAGTGTGATGTCATTCTCTTTTTACAAACTTGGCCTCATTCACTTTTCCTTCCTTTTTCTAAAGTGATTGTTATTTTCTCAAATACTTTTAGAACTTTAGTTGACATAAACAAGAAAAAAAAAAGATACCTTCTTTAGCTTTATCATCTGCCACGTCCATTGCAGCTTCATCGTTAACTCCATCAACTTCAACAACACCATTTACTATATCGTATCTCTGCAGTTTCAGATCAAGGATAAGTACTAACACATTTATTGTACAAATAAAAACATATCAACATGATTAAAAGAATAAACTCATTCCAGACCTTTGAATATAATGGTGCATATAGTTTCTGATATTTTGCTTCAAGAGCAGCTCTTTCTTCAAAGAACTTTGCCTCAAGCTCGTCATGTTCACTCTGCACATCGAGATTATGAAAATAGCACTTAGCATTGCACTTAACGATTACAACTTTACCAAATAGGCAGGCTCGATAATCAATTAGAAATTAGTATGATGGTGATTAAAAAGAGAACAATAGACATCCTTTCATGCCATGATCAAAAACACCAGATAAACTACACATAATCATATTGCAGGTATAAGATTATATAACTTCAACAGAACAAACTTGTACCTGGATTTCTCTTAAAACCTCGACTCTCTTCCTAACCGTCGGACTCAAACTCTCGAGAATATCCGAGTGTTGCCCTGCAAGGTTTTGAAGCTTATCCTGCAAACAAACAACAAAATCAGAACAAATAACACAAACAACCATGAATAAGATTTTGCATCACAATTAAAAAATACAGATTAGGAAGAAAAAAAAAACCTTTAAGGCGTTTACAAGCCCAGCACGATCCTCCGCACTAAGAGCTGCAAGAAAGATTGACCAAATCAAACCAACAAAGTTCAAACTAATTTGGGATAAACAACGATTGACGATTTTAGGATAAGAGATGAAGAAGGTACCTGCAGCGGCGGCCGGTAAGGAGGCGCCGAGATCGGACACATCAAACTGTTCTTTCTTGTTGTTACCCATGATTGTGGCCGACGATTGTGTGGTTGAAACTGAAAACCCTAGAAAGTACAAACGAAATTGAAGAGAAAGGGAGGGAAAGTGAAAGATAGGGATAGATGGAAAAGATATAGATGGGAGATTGAAGAGAGGTTTGAGAGGCGAGTGGGCGGTTTGTTCTGCGTTTAGTAGTCTCGCATCGTGACCTAATAGAGTTTTAGGGTTTATATAGTCTTGAGGTGGGGATTGAGTTGAGTTTCACGCGCAGTTGATGGCGCGTGGACTTTAGTGAGATTTGCAAAGTTGGACACCAAGATGTTGGGCTAGAACTACATTTGAGATGGGTCCGTTTATGAAGACAGGTCTCAAGACTCAAGATGCGTAAAGAGTGTTGGACTAGTTTCGATGAACCCATGATGTTGAGATTGTGATTTTATTTTTTGATTTTTTATATATTTTAATCTGCTGAGACGAGATATACTTATTTGAATAAAATTAGTTTTATATTTCCATGCAAGGTATATATATTTTTTTAACTAATACTTGCATAGATCATTAATTCCCTTTAAAAAGCAAACTTTTATATTCCCTCCAAATACTCAAATCGATAATAAATCTATGGAAATTGATGTATTTGAGGGATATCTTTAACTAAGTTGTAATTTCATTGGTTGTAAATATTGAAATACGTTTTTTCGTCAAATTCGTTGTATTCATCAAATAATCAAAAAATTAAAGCACCTATATGATTCGAGAAAATTAAGGCACACATAAATGATGATTTCTTCAATCGTGAATATGATTGATTAGGAAGCGAGTATAAGACAAATTAATCCTTCAACACGCACCAACACAACACAATAATATTTCCTATGGTTATGATTTTGTATGAATATGGCTTCGTTTTTATATTTGAACTACAGACCATCCAAAGTTAAATCTTTTGGTATTCGAACATAAGATCACTCTATTTTTAAATTTTGAGTGATTACTATTAGACAACCTTGATGGTTGTTGCACTACAAATAAAATGGCATTTAGCGGCATAGAAAAAGTGTCACTAAAAATTTAAAAAAAAAAAATGTGTCACTAAAAGCACCCTTGTCATTCAGCGGCACAAAGAAAAAATGTCACTAAAAACGCTGCCACTAAAGGCCTTTAGTGGCACTTTTTAATTGTGTCGCTGCAGCCTTATTGGATTTAGTGACACTTTTTTTATGCCACTAAAACACTTTTGGATTCTAATGGTATTTCTTATTCCATTATATATTTGCTAAATTAAATATATTATCCTGCTATTTAAAACTTTATATTTATAAATTAGGCATGGCTTTTTTAATTTAAATCAATTATACAATAATAAAATGATAATTAATATTGTAAATAAAAAAACACAATATAATTACTTTAAATTAAAATATAGCTTGCTTAACAACAATATTCTCAATACTTAAAATACAAATGTTTTCGACAATTCCAAATAGCCTACTGTGCTTCTTTTGCATCCTTTTATGCTTGTTTTGCTGAAACTTCATCCAAGTTCTAGAATATATGACTGTACATTCCTTGTGAATTAGGTAGTTGTTGAAGAGGTGAAACATGTTCCATTATATCATCTGCAATGATGAATCAAATTTATTAGTCACTGGTTATAAAGGTTTTGTTGAATCACATATAAAGAAAGAGAGAAAAAGGAAACTGGATGTCTAATGCGCCAAAAACACTTGAAAAAAAAACTAATGCTTTATGCATAAATCAAAACCCATTTTGGATACCACCATCACCCCATCCATATAGTTACAATTTCTAAGAACTAGATTAGCAAGAATTTGAATATGAGTTGAACCTATAAAAGCTTCTATTGAAGCTTATTTTCTTTGCACATTTATACCAAAATTCCCAAATATTAACATGAGTGTATGTTGATAAAAAAAAACTTATCACTTCTCATTTTTACTGTAAAATGACCATTTCTTTTTTGTGCATGAGAATAGCATTATACTTTTAAAAATTACCAGACCTGATAATTTAAAGTATAATGCTAACTGTTAGTAAATTCTGCAAATACATAAATGGTTCATGTGGTCCCTACTATACCAAGCAGTTACAGAAATGGTCCCTGCTATAGCAAACTGTTACAAAAATGGCCCTTGTGACAATTTAATATTACAAAATTGGTCCCTATGATAGTAAATTGTTACAGAAATGGTCCCTTTGACAGTTAACTGCTACAAAATGCATAATCTACAAGTATAACTTTCTGTAATAACACAATCACTAGATGTGTGCGTATATGAAATTGTTAGGATCACAACTTTCATTTACCTTTGAACCGAACCACAAGAGACAGCAAGAATAGATGCCCCTTCAAGGTTTATGCTTATTGATCATTCATCCCTCTACATTAAATACATACCAAAAATACTATATGAAAATCACACCAAACCAGATAACACATACAATTTATATAACTAAACTATTAAATTACAAAAACAAAATTACCTTAAATAATCAAATTTGTAACAGGAGAAAAGTCTAATAGCAATTCCTTAGAACTTAGAAGCAAAATCGTTAGAATAGAAGTCATGAGCATGAATACAAATTACATAGAATAAGAAGAGAATAGATGATCAAAAAAGTCGATTTTGATTTATACTGAAACTATAAAGGCCAAATACAAATTAGAAATTAGGCAAGTTAAAATACCATTAAGTTGCAATGAAATCTCAAGACGTTGAATCATTGATTGGCTAAGGGTGTGAAGAATGGTGTCACGAACGTGTAATCTTGATTATCGGTGCAATCCTATTGGCAACTGATGGTATTCTGATGCCCCTTCGTCCACTGTTCCATCTTACGAGCCCATGTCCACTCGTTTTTGTTTGTCGCCTTCAATCTCTGGATCCAGTTGCAATACAGATCCACACAGTAGAGTCAGAAACCACAAAAACATGAAGCAGCAAACGAAGACAACATGTAGTCGATTAAAGTCTAGAATCATACCTGTTCGAGGCCAGAGAACAAGATGAAATTCATTATGAGATATTGAGAACTTGAAACGGCAGCGAGATATCAAGATGCATATAATCTAGAACAAGCATCAACCGGCAAGATGCAGAGATTCAACCTGCAAGGAGTGACGAGGGTTTTAGAAAATGGAAGGGATTTTGATTTTAGGGGATCCGAATTTTGATTTTAGGAGCGCAAAGGGGTGAGTGCAGCACTTTTCATGTTGGAGGGAATAAGGAGCGGGCAATGAAAATTAGAAGCAATTAACCCGCGTGCAACCAAAATTAGAACTTTTAATAAGATATAGCCGCATATAAGAATAAGTGTCACTAAAAACTTAATATAGTGGCACAAAAACAAATGTGTCACTAAAAGTTTGTGCCACTAAATGTAATTTTGGTTGTAGTGTTGGTACCAAAACTAACTCTAACGGTTTTAAATAATATTGTATACAAGGTTACAAGCTTAGTTAGCCTTCAAAGAGAACAAACATTAAGTAATGTTGAATAAATCGAGTACAAGATGTTGGATTTTTTGGGTATTAAGAATAACTTAATGGTTAGGTCTGAAATCTACAATGGAGCTATTAGTTCTTGAGTCAATATTCTTAGCTTTTATTGGCTCGAAGCTCTTTATTTTTTGTTCGATGAGCAGATCCATTAAATGTTAATGATGAATCCGTATTGATGCTTTATTACGCAACTTTTTCTGAGATGACTCATAGATCTTACATATTGGAATTCTATATCATAAATATTCTTTTTCTTTCTTTCTCTAAGCCTTTACTTTTATATTTCTAGGATCGTGATTGCAATCACTTTCCAAAATCTGTGATACAGCCGGTATATCACGAAATCAAATTTGGGATAATCCAAAGAATGACAATTTAGAAGTCATGTCACTTCTAAATTAGAAACACAAACAAATGTCTTGTTGTTTTGTGTTCTTGTAGAGATAGATAGAATCAAATGAATGATTTTCGAGTGTATCTATGTTCTAACCGGATTTTGGAACTTCAATCATCCTTGATATAAATCGATTGAAAGTTGGTTACATGCACTTTGGGGCCAAAAAGGGTTAGTTACAAAACATAACTATCGTATGACATCACTACTAGTTTTGGCAGGAATTTTCATAGCTGGACCTTTTCTAGATATAAAAAGTGGAACCACCGCCAGGGACTCTGCTCTTGGACCTCGCAATGGACGCAACCCCTTGGAACCCTGCACCTAGGGTTTCTGCCCCCGACCTCCGTATTCCCGAGTTCACATTTATCATTCCGAGTGTGCACCACACACCTCCTGTCTTGGTTATTAAATGGAGTTCAGCCTATCTCAATGTCAATTATAACAACTACACCAAAATATGTTGATAACACTAAATTACCAACACAAGACAAACTCATCTTCAAAATCAACTTAACAAACTATAACATAATCGTTCTTTCATGATCTTTCGAAAATATGTTACATTATATACTTATGAATGAAGAGCAATGGATAAGCCCCCTTTCACTTATAGCCCTTAGATAATCTCAAATTTCAATAACCATTGTGTTAAGTACCTATTTACAGGTTTTTACTGTTTGCATATCCACCTCCAAGATCGTGTGTGACTCTCTATTCAACATTCGACCACACGACTCCATCGTTAACCTCTAACGATTCCATCTTCAACTTTCCCATTTCCCCATACCTCGTTTTCTTATCTCCCTTGTAAAATTAATAACACTTCAACCTCACTTTATTATTCCATATCCCTTTTGTTTTCTCCCTTTATTTTCCTTCTTATTAAACTTAACAACATAGTGTAAATGGTCACGAAGAAGGAAAAACATGAGTTTACAGCTCAACAATTGGTAGTAGCGAAAACAGACATCGATTTAATTTGATGGAACTCTTTATGGGAAAACATTCCCCCTGTTCATGGTATTTATTCCTATCATATTCGTTAAATTTCCATGGGCTTTAAAAATCGAACCCATGATTTCTATTTTTGACTTTAAACCAATTTTTAACAGTTTAAATAGTGGATTCGCATGCCAAATTAACATGTAATTCTTCAATTGCCTCGTGCTTTTAGAATTAGGTTTCGTCTTGCTCCAGTTTTGAATTTCTACTTTATTATCTTTCAGTTATGTAATTCTTATGAAACCTTCATTTCTTCAAAGTTTTCTAAAAATTAGAGAAATGGTAGTGTT